CTCATTCCCGACACGCTCGCTCATGGCTGTGAACGATCGCAGTGCGGGTGCCGTGAGCAGGCGTCCCAGCTGCTGCGCACGGTGCCCCCTTCCAACAGAAGACAAAGCAGAAAATGTTCAAAAAGAGGCCTCCACAGTCCCAGGATATAAATTCATTGTTAAGCTACAAAGCCACAGCTGTGAGCAAATGAGGAACTGGCTAGAGAGCTGGGAAGCCAGTGGCTACCCGGAGTTTCCTAGGGATAAATAGCTGTAGATACCATTCTCACTATGGGTTTTGTTTGCTTAAAGAGAAACATCTACAAAATCACCGATTCACAAAGCCAGGCAATTGCGGCAGCTCCAACACAAACTAATCGATCAGAATTGTATCCCAGTGGACTGGCATTGCCTCAGCCACAGTTCCACGACCGTGGCCCGCGAGAGATTAGATTTAATTCCTGCCCACGTTAATCTACTGGCAAAGCAATCAATGGATTGCGGTCACCGTCCGGCTGTGCAGAGCCACAAAGTCAAACAGGCAAGGAGAAAGGGGCCTGGGTTTAAATCCCACGGCTCAGCCGCAGCAGGGACGACGTTACCGGATCTGGACGTGCAAACCAGTGCTGCAGCCGCTGTGGTATGTTTGCACCAAATCGTGTGCACGGTGGGCCCAGGGAGATGCTTCTGAAAAGCTGACGATTTGCTCATGCTGTCGATGCTGCTCAGCGGCAGGTGTCAGTTTGGTATCGGAAGTGATGCGTGTCGGCTCTGTACTTGTATTTCACACGTTTGCTCCTGGGAGACAGCAACAGGCTTGGCCGACCTACGGTGGACGGGCGGTTGGTCAAGTGACTAGCAGCACTTGACTGACAATGCACATTCTGGGGAGCTTTGCCGTGAACACTCAGACCAGCATGTAACCATTGGCCGGCACAGAGTCCTGCATGGACAGGGGACTTGCGCAGGTGACAAACTCCATCTGGGGCTGACTTTCACACAAGGAGAACAACGAGATCCCCTCCACGTGGGCAAAGACATAAACAAGGACTGGGCTCCATCTTTCTTCTCATTCCAGCTTATTACTCGTAAAGCATCTTATAAATAAAGTGATGGAAATGCCTATCTCCTAGAACTGGAAGGGACCTTGAAAGGTCATTGAGTCCAGTCCCCTGCCTTCACAGCAGGACCAAGTACCATCCCTGACAAATTTTTGCCATAAATGGCCTCTGCAAGGATTGAACTCACAACCCTGGGTTTAGCAAGTCAAGGCTCAAACCACTGAGCTATACCTCCCCCGTTGTCACTATGCACGGGGCCTGGAAGGACTGATGGCCCATGCCAACAACGGATTTATCCCAGAGACTTATAAAACAACCGATGAATTCCTCTCTGCCGCAAGCCTGCACCCAGAACTTTGCAATGGGTGTGTGCAATTTGATGCTTTTCACAATTTCTCTTCCAGCGCTCTTATTTTATTAATAAACCTTTCGATGGTAGATACTAAAGGATGGGCCCAGCGAGCTCTTTGGGGTAAGACCCGAGCTGTAACTTGCCCCGGGACTGTGGCGGGTCCTTTGGGACTGGGAGAACCTGTTGGGAGTTGGGGAGATGGGTTTTCAGGACCCGTTCCCGGTGTAAGGTTGTGGCACAGGAGAACTGGGCTGTCTGAGAGGGCTGCTGGCCAGCGTGGTGAACAGCGGAGCTGGGTGTGACAGGGTTGGAGCAGGACCCCCAGTCTGGGGCTGTCAGTAGCCCTGACTTTGAGCAATTCAACCTGATTTGACCCTCTCAGCAGTGCCCCCAGAACCCCTCCCTATTACAGCTAGTTCACTGAGACACCATTCGCTATCTAACCAACAGAGCATTCGGACTGTCAAAGTCTCTCTGTCGCACTATGAAAATCAACGCATTAAAACGTGCTTGGGGTTGGCTACTTTCCCTTGGAGTTCGCCTGGCCCCCAAAGCCGCCGGAGCACCGGGCCTTGCCTGCAGTCGGCATTGTCCACGAGGGCTGCATGGGACTGCAGCTCTCCTCTGATCTACTCCTCTGCCAACTTCAGCTTGCCAGAAACAACGGCCATCTTAGCGTGTGGCTCTTCCATGTGGCTCGCGGGGATGGAATTTCTTCTCGCGGCCCACACTCGGACAGAAGGTCTGGGTGCAGGAGGAGACGATGGGCCAGGCATCTTACAGCAGGGATCATGCCTCAGTTTCCCCCCCTGTAATTATCTAGGCACAAGGCTTTGGGATCCGGGGATGAAAGGGGTTATGTCCATGCAACACAGAGTCCTTAGGGCTGCACTGTGTCTCCAACTCTTCCTTCCTGCGAGACCCCCCTTTGCTGGCTGGCCAAAGCCCCAGGGGACGCTGCACGGGGACTGGGGGTGTGACGCCAGCTCCGCTCAGCTTAGAAAGGAGACAGGGTCATTGTCACGCCTGCAGAAAGGCCCCCGGTGGGGACACCGCCCCTTGGAGCAAACCTTTCCCGCTAGGGCCTTGGACAACGGCAGGGCCATGCCCCCTGCAGCTCCCAGCTGGCTCAGTAACCCTCAGAATTCCCGGCTCGTGGCTTCGGGGTGGCAGGGCCGGAGCTCCCGGCCTGCAGGGACTTGGCGAGGCACAGCGAGGGCACCAGCACAGTCTCTGACCCAGCCTGGGCGTTTTCACATGATTTCGAGCAAATGTCGGGCTGTCCAGGCAACGGCAGGGTGGGCGCCTTACCCCAGGCTGTATGCAAGGGGGGACTGTAGCTCTCCTTGGGGGGGGGCCACCCCCCTCGCCCGGTGCGGCACCCGTGCGCCGGATCTGCTCAGGCTATTTGGCGGGGCACTGGCTACACCCCGGCTCACCACCGGCCCTGAGTGGCCAAGCTTGAGACCCACCTGGGATGTTCCCAGCACTTCCAGCAGCCGCCCCGCTGGGCAGCAGCTCACAGCACCCCCAGGCCCACTCGGACGCTCCCCTGGCTCCGGCCCCCAGTGCTTGTAGCGACTTTCAACCCACTTTTCCCGCCTCGGCGCCCCGGGGCACATGCCCACGTGGAAAGTCCCCCGGGAGATCCGTGCAGCCCGGGAGCCCATCCACGCCCAATGCGATGCCCCTTCATGTGCCCGGCTGGGGGCACGGGCAGGAGCCCCCAGCCTGAGCAGAGACGCTTCCCGCACCCAGCAACGCAGGCATGCAGGCCCCGGCTCCATTCACAGCCCATTGAGTCCCCTGCTGCCCGGCTCATTTAGAGCCAGAGAACCATAAACCGCTTCCGGCCGAGGACACGGGGGCCGGGCAATAACAGCCACAAGGATGCGCCTTTCTTTAATGGACTCCTAACGAGCCCAGGCGCAGGAGGCGGCTTGCTAGGGAGCTGCAGATTGCCCACGTCGGGAACCAATTACCTCGTTACTGCTCCATAATGGGCAGCAGGAGCCTGTCAGCGAGCCAGACACCCCCGCGCAGAGCAGGGTGCAGGGAGACAAGCGGCCTGGCTTTTAGTTCGTTCAAATCCTGTTGGGAAGCAGATTCGTCTCAGGGGCAACACAGGCCAAAGGGTTCCACCTAGCTGGGCTAAGGCACTGAACCGGGACTCATGAGAGCTGGCTTCCCTGCCAGGGTCTGCCACAGGTTCCCCGAGGAACCTTGGTCAAGTCCCTTGATGGCACCGTGCCTCAGTTTCCCCATTTGTGAAGCAGCAAGCGCTACTCCTGCCTTCAGCTGTCTTGTCCCTTTAGAATGGGAGCTCGCTGTGTCCAGGCAGCTCTTGGAGCAGCGAGGCCCTGATAGGGGCAGATATAGGGCAGGGCGAGCGGGGCGGCTGCTCTAGGCCCCGCGCTTCAAGAAGCCCCACGCATGCGCCGTGGCAAAGGGGGGCCCTGCGAAATTGGGCTGCCCTGGGCCCCGCAAAATGGTCATCTGCCCCTGGGCCCTGAAGTCCCTTAGGTCTCTAGACCGCAGTGGGGTGCACACGCCACATGCCACGGAGTGGGAGAGATATTTGCTCCAGTGGCCTGCTGCCTCTTGGCTGACCTCATGTGCACTAGCTAGGAGAGCTGGGCTCTGGTCCATGTTCTGTGAGTGACCCTGCCTGAGTCAGTGTGACTCAGTTTCCCCCCCTCTAAAACAGACACAATGACAGCGGGGTGCAAGGCACTTTCAAATGCATCCAGCGGGGCTAGAAAGGGCACCGATGGGGTTTGTTGCGTGGCACATTGGTCGCTACAAACCCGGCTGCAAGCTGCTGGCTCATTTCCTGTGATCCAGGGCGCCAGGCTGTCAACACCCGGGTTCTGACCTAAACCAGAAAGGGTCAGAGCAGCCCACGTGACTCCTCAGTGCTTCTGCCCGGCCTTGTCCCCGGCCCTTTTCTTTCTGAGCCCCGCACCCCCCCACCCTGCTGTACAGACTCCAGGGCCAGGCTCCAGGGAGCCCCACAAAGCTAAGCTGCTTCAGCTCCCACCATGAGCGGTGGGGCTCAGAGCCCCCGGCTTCCCCCCTGCACAGCGGGGCTTTGGCTGTCTCCCCTGGGCAATTTTCTCTCCGATTTTTTTCATGTGCGGAATAAATTTTGTGCACCACGGCATGTGCAGATGTGCACCACCAAGAGAAACACCGGTGGCAGTTGGGGCAGGCTGGGGGGGCGCTGCTAATCAGCGGGGCAGCATTTGAATCTCTCCCGGGCAGCTGCCCAAGCTCAGCTCACAGAGAGCCCTGGCCCCCCCCCCTGGGCAATTTTCTCTCCGATTTTTTTCATGTGCGGAATAAATTTTGTGCACCACGGCATGTGCAGATGTGCACCACCAAGAGAAACACCGGTGGCAGTTGGGGCAGGCTGGGGGGGCGCTGCTAATCAGCGGGGCAGCATTTGAATCTCTCCCGGGCAGCTGCCCAAGCTCAGCTCACAGAGAGCCCTGGCCCCCCCAG